CATCAATCGGTCGACTGATTCCCTATGATTAGTCGACCGACCCGAGAAAAATCCTGTTTTTCTATAAAAGGATTTCATATTCAACTAAATACATAAAAGTTTAAATTCCCTCAATAAAACTCGTGTGTAAAACTTGTAATCAACATATTTAGAGTTAATTCTACTGTATGAAAACACGATTTCAAATTTGGGAGATAAATCTAAACCCTAACATGTTCATAAGTGTCATATGCACTGTTTTAAAAAATCTCCGCCTAGTCTGTTTAGACGTACGCCTATGCCTAGACGGTACCTAGACCGCCTAACTAACGCCTAACGTCTAGACGGTATTTAGGCTATCCACCTAGATGTTACGAGCGTTTAGGGAAGCATTATCTGCTTACGTGGATTGCACACTGTAGGTTTTGGTTGTGATTTTATGTGTTGTAACCTATACGTCCTCCAAACTCCATTAACCTTCAAATATGAACTCCTCCACTACCTTCTCCGACCTTCAGCAAAACTTCATCGACCACCACTTAAATGAAGAAAAAAATCTGCCTAGACACCAGTCCGGCATCTAAGCTTTCTATAACATTGACATTCACTATCAATTATTGTAATTAAAAAAACATCTTAGGCTCTAGCCTTGTTAATTATTATTTTGGCTATTTAGTATCTAAGTATGCATGATTTATTGTGAAACTAAGGTTGTTATCTTTTTTTAAAAATTTATATGAATTTAATACATATTTTTATCAATTATTATAATTAAATAATTTAAAAATGGCCAAACACCTGGGCGCACACCCAGGGGTCTAGGCGCTAGGCGCTAGGCGCTCGTTTAAACGCTTAGTCTGCCTAGCGTCTTCTGTAACATTACCGAGCTCCCGATCTCTGTAACTACTAACAAGGTAAAGAGTACTTCTTAAATATCTATTTAAGTTAGTTAACAACACTAACTTAAACTTAAGAAGTGTAAGTTAACAGTAACTTAAGTTTAAGTTTAAGTTTAACTTAAGTTTAAGTTAACAGTAAACTTAAGTTTAAGTTAATATTAAGTTTTTTGTTGATGGTAAACTTAAGTTTAAGTAAATAGTAAACTAAAGTTAACAATATTTTAGTTAACAATAAATTTAACTTTAAGTTTATTGTTAACTTAAACTTAATAGTAACTTATAAGTTAACAGTAATTTGAGTTGAATGAGTTTTCACTGTTGAGATGAACTTATAATTTGAGTTGAGAAGTATAAACATACAAAGAGCTATTATAATTGGTAAACCAAACAATTTAGTTAATAGTATTGGTATTTTTAGTATTTATGCATCTTTGATTGAGTATATATATATATATTTATCTTCAAGTATCACAATTTAAAAAAGAAAAAAGAAAAAAAACGTTCAGAACCCGCTTAGGCGTCCACCTAAGCGACTAAGCGCTGGGCGCCAAGTTCGACGCCTAGAAGCGCCCATTATTTAATGTAACATTGCTCATATGTGTAAGATTATCATGAAAAACACCTACTTTAATCAAACTCATGTTATATCACGTTTAAAACTTTAAATCCACAACTGGAAATCCGTTTAATATCTTTTTAAATCAAAAAGATCAAATCTTTGTATCTTATAGTCTGCAAGAACAATCTTTATACTTAAACTAGGTTTTAAGGCTCAATAAAACCAAATAAAACTCAGTAAAAACTAAATAAAAATGGGGATGAGATTGAAGGAGATGAAACTCGCCTCAACACGTGCAGAAATCCTCAAATATGCAAGAAAACAAGTTCTCCCTCACTCTCGCCCTCTTCTCGGTATTTGCCTCACAAAGCTCTTCAAAACTCACAAAATATGATCTAGGATTTTGAGGAGAGATGGTGGTTGTTTATTCACATGAAAAATATGAAGAAAAAGAGAATTTAATGGCTTGCCATCAGTTGACTGATGATCTCCTATTAGTCGACTGATAGGTAAGCATCAGTCGACTGATCCGAGGCATTTTTCAGCCTACAGGTTTTGTGCATGTTTAACACTTGTATAGTCTCATTTGTACACTTAATTGATCTCAAATCAATTACTAACATACTCATTCATCAATAAATGATATTTATCATAAAATAACTCATTTATCACTATTAACCGTAGTATTTTCCAAAAATTACGGGGTTTTACAAAAATTTACAATACATAGTTCCAAAAAGGTGAGAAATTTTGAGTTGAATTACATTTTTCTGATTTCACACTGGACAAATTTGTTGGACTACAAGAGTTCATTAGTGAGGTTATAAGGAAAGTCTGTGGAAAGGTTTACTGATTGAAAGTAAGAAATAAACAGTTTGCTATGTCTACAAAAAAAAGGAGCATTGTAGAGATCCAAGAAGGTTATAAAATGCTATGGCGAGTAGTTATTACAAAATACAATGTTGTGTTTTTATTGAAAATGGATGGACAAAGCCCTTGCGGGTGGCCCAAGGGTTGGGTGTTAGGGCCTTGGACTAAGTGGTCCAAGGATCGACCGGTGTCTATGTCACCCATGTCCCCAATATTTATCCAAAGGGTATTGCATCCCTTTTGCTATTCACATGGGCCCTGGGGTGCATGAGGGGACGTAGTGACTCTGCGGTTTTCTTGGCTAGTTCAATCAGGCTTGGAATTGGTGTGACATCTGGGCCCCCATAGATGGTATTTGGGTGGATTTGGAGCCCCCCATATGTGATCACGAATCTGTTGTGGTGGCCCCCAATAGCAGGGTGTGCTCCCTTGAGGTGGGAGAGTGTAGACTCTAAATCTCGTTCCTCAACGGGTAGAAGTGCTTGAACTTTGGACCTTGTTCCTGACTGATTGATCTAGCTGAGGTTCCTCGTCACCAGAAAAAATGGATAGAAATTGAAGACAAGGTTGCATGAAAATAGGAGTAAGATGTACCCAACAGGACGGGATGGGATGAGGAGGGTTGGGGGTCCATTTTCTCCAGAGTCTCTGTGATCTTTCTTGGTGAGTGCAGTAAGATTTAATGGAGAAAAGTAGAATTAACATTGGCTTGGGAAGATGCGGAGTCTAATAAGAGACAACCGACACTTGTGGTGATCTGTGAAACAAGCTTCTAAAAGCTGCTTTGTGATGTAGAAATATTTGAGGAAGAACTAACAACCTGTGAAAGTGGGGTGTAGGTTATTCGCCTGAGGAAGGCACGACCTTTATTATGTAGAGATCAAATCATAAGAGGTGCTCGGTACATTTTTTTCATCTCAAATAAATTATGCTAAATTACGATTCAGGCTAACTAGATAGTTACTTTGTGAATGACTGATCAGAGGATACTCAATACTTTGTCATGTGAAAGCCGCGAGACTGCTTTAGTGGACACTGACCTCATATCACATTTATTCATCTCAAATAAATTATGCTAAATGATGATTCAGGCTAATTAGATAGTTATACTTTGTGAATGACCAATCAGAGGATACTCAAAATGTTGTCATGTGAATGCCATAACACTGCTTTAGTGGACACTAACATCATATCGTAACTACCTAGTTAGCCCTATTTTTTCCTCTCCGTTACACCTGATTTTCAAATGCATTTCTCAATTGTCATCTGGCCTTTTACATTCTTCTTTTATGCGTGCTCCTGAAACCCAGATACATCATACAGCCACTATATGCTAACGGATTTAGAGCCTCAGAGGGAATTCAAATGAAGTATTTTGGTAAAATACAACCAGATTTTTTGGTTCTTGCGACATTTCCTCTCTTATTAATAGTTAGTATTTTCTGTGAGATACCTCAAAGAACTCATGGCACTGGATGCGTTCATGTTAGTAGTTCAGATTTTAAAAGTTAAAAGTCTTTCCATTAATTTTTTGTAGCATTTATAATAGGTTATGTGATGGGGGAACAGACGAAGGAGATGTGTCTATGAGATTTGTTTGAAAATAAATAATAATAAAAACAAATGATATTGAAATTGCACTCTTCAATTAAGAAAAATTGATACAAATGTTAGAGCTCCACTCCCGGGCACTTCACATGTTGGCAATCCACATGCCTAATACTAGCTGCAATTTACATGCACCTCACAAGCATTCTTCTTCCCTCACCCTCAAATGAAAAAGTCCATCATTATTTATAGTAGTATAAAAATCCTAATCTTAATTAGTAGATAACATCAGATAAAACAGCTTAATAAAATAACAACTCCAATATCTAAATAACAAGTGCATCCTAACCAAACATCTCAACTCAAGAAAATAAAATCTTTAAAGAAAATCCAAACTTCTAATCTGCCCTGAATCGCTGTGGTATAAAATTGAGTGATATGTAATATAGTTCCTGACTTCCTGTTTCTAATGACATAGCTGCATTTTATTATAAGTATATGAATGCTCCTTATATGCGGCTTAATGCTGCTTACATCCAGCAGATTTCGATTAGATGTGTGGATGTTGCTTGGGTTGTATGCCAAATGTTGACTTAGTTGTTTTTCGGTTGGGCAATATATGCAGGGATGTACCCAAAAGCATGCGTCTATGTGTATTATCCTATCAAGAATCCAAACATTTATTTAAGAGCTGATTTCATATGTAAAACTTGAACAATTGTAGCATGACCAGTGACATTTCTATATGCATGAGGATTTTAAACTTTGCTAGAAACGATAGCATGACCAGTGATATCACCCTTGATTTATAGTAGATTTCTTAGATTAATGTCTTTGCTACATGCATAGCAATTTTTATTCTTTGTTTTGGCTGAAATGTTTCAACTCTAGAACTTAATGATGCATTGGTAACAAGTATTTTATATGTGAAATTATTATATGTAATATAACTAGTCAAATCTGTATTCTCAATTGACATTAAATGTCCGAACATCAAATTTATACCCCCACCTTTTGCTCGTGTACCTGGGATCAGGAACATTACCATCACTATGCAAGATTCTATGCTTTTAGCTATTTGCGCACTATTTGATATGGTGATGTGCAGGGCAGAATATAATCCAGACCAGTATTTATGGGATTCAGAGTTCACTCTTGCAGGCAGAAAATACAAACGGCAAGATTTGGAGGCAAGTATGGAGATCAGTTGAGGTTTTTCTTCTGTCATTCTACTTTTCACAATAAAATAGCGTCTATTTTCTTAATATTTGCTGATATTCTACAGTTTTATGTTGAAATCTAACAGCTGACAAATGGAAGAGGTCATACCTTGCAGTGTAGTCATTATAGTCCCTCTGTCATCCCAGAAAACACTGCTCTCCCCTGCGTTATTTACTGCCATGGAAATAGGTTTGTTTTTATTTTTATTTTTATTTATTTTTTGCCTCATGCCTTAGGTTACAATTCCTATAGGAACCACCCCCATAGGAGTGGGTTTTGACCATAAATAGAATAATTAATCTTTCAAGGCTATATTCTACCATCTCTTGGATGGCTAAGATCAACCAGTTGAATGCGGGTGTTCTGATAAAATTTACACTCCATGTCTTTGCCTCCCGTATTTGTTCAGTTCAGATGCACTGCTGGGAAGGCAACTGCTTTACAGCTGAAACTGTATTCTGGAAGTGATAAAGGCATAATTATCTTGAAATTGTTGAAGTTTGCGACAACATTTTAGGCTAAAGGTTGGCAACTTCAATTTTTATGTCCATCCCATGCATCCTCAACCCACCCACATTGTCACTTCCAATGTTAGGGGAAACCAGAAAAAAAAAAGAATAAAGAACAAAATTTCTTTTCCTTCCACTCTGCTTAGACCTATATGTCAGCAAGAGGACACAGTGGTTCTGTTTTTTGGTTAGGGTCTCATTGTCATTTTCTTCAGAAGCTGAAGATTGCTTATTCTTCCTTTCCCCCCTTCTATCTTGCAGTGGCTGCAGAGCAGACGCGAATGAGGCAGCTGTCATCCTTCTTCCTTCAAATATTACTGTCTTTGCTCTTGACTTTTCAGGCTCCGGTCTATCTGGTGGTGATTATGTCAGCCTTGGTTGGCACGAGGTATTTTAAATTCATGTTTCTTGTCCTCCTGGTGTTTGCCTGCTGAAATGCTGCTGAAGTTCTAAGAATAAATTTTATTGTCTTATACCTGTCAGAAAGATGATCTCAAAGCTGTTGTTTCTTATTTGCGGAGCAGCAAACAAGTTTCCTGCATAGGGCTATGGGGCAGATCCATGGGTGCTGTCACTAGGTATATAACTACTTTAGATTTAGTTCCTGGAGTCTGATTGGTGTTCAAGTTACATCTCATTTTTTTTTGAACGAATTTTCCCACATAACTCATTTTTATCAGCTCATATTGTGTATTGTTTGAGTTATTCCATAGGTTGAACATGTCTTTGTAATAATAGATTTTCTGCTTAAAATTGTTTATTTATTTTTTCTCATCTAGGTTGACAATGGTGTGCTCTGTATTAGTTATCTCATATATGTTTTTGGGTACCTTTCGCATACACCTTCGAACCTTGGGGTGTTTTGCGGAAAAACTCCTAAACTCTATAAATTAGTAGGAATTCTCTTAACTATTGGAATTTTCATAACAGCATTAACGTGATAGGTAGAAAGTCTTGGCTATCCTTATACTATATTTGCCAGAAAATATTCCACATTCCCCCCATCTTCACTGCTCAACCTCTCTGACAATCCCAAACTCCCTTCATCAATCAACTCAATTCCATGCTCTAAAGTCCAAGTTCCCCAGTAATCTTTATCCAAACCTGAGCCACGAGACTCATCAGACATCGAACCAACCAGACTTCAAATAGGTGATTTCAAAGAGCAAATAGGAAAACATAAAAAAACAGGGTGAGTTGTTCATGGGATAGGGTAGGATGAGGGCGAGGGGAGAAGATGGAAACCAAGAAAATATATTAATTACACAGAGGCAAAAGTGTTCGAAACTTGTAATGTGCTTTTCATGTGACATCATAAACCAACTGACATCAGTCTTGGTAGTTTAATAAAGCAAGTTTTGAGGACCTCTTTAATTTATAAAGTTTAGGAAGTTTTGTGAAGAGTATCCCAAAGTTTGGGGTGGTGTCATGTAATTTACCCTAAATTTATTGTTGGGTTTGTAATGGTGCTGGTAGTGTTCGTTATCTCTTATAAACATTTATGGATAATTCTTATCCTGATAGATTGCGAAAATTTTGGCAAGCTTATATTAGGGAGGCATCCAATTGGTTATTTTTTTATTTTTTTATTTTTTTTTTTTGGGGGGGGGGGGGGGGGGGGGGGGGGGCGGGGGGGCTGGCAACTTCAATTTTTATGTCCATCCCATGCATCCTCAACCCACCCACATTGTCACTTCCAATGTTAGGGGAAACCAGAAAAAAAAAAGAATAAAGAACAAAATTTCTTTTCCTTCCACTCTGCTTAGACCTATATGTCAGCAAGAGGACACAGTGGTTCTGTTTTTTGGTTAGGGTCTCATTGTCATTTTCTTCAGAAGCTGAAGATTGCTTATTCTTCCTTTCCCCCCTTCTATCTTGCAGTGGCTGCAGAGCAGACGCGAATGAGGCAGCTGTCATCCTTCTTCCTTCAAATATTACTGTCTTTGCTCTTGACTTTTCAGGCTCCGGTCTATCTGGTGGTGATTATGTCAGCCTTGGTTGGCACGAGGTATTTTAAATTCATGTTTCTTGTCCTCCTGGTGTTTGCCTGCTGAAATGCTGCTGAAGTTCTAAGAATAAATTTTATTGTCTTATACCTGTCAGAAAGATGATCTCAAAGCTGTTGTTTCTTATTTGCGGAGCAGCAAACAAGTTTCCTGCATAGGGCTATGGGGCAGATCCATGGGTGCTGTCACTAGGTATATAACTACTTTAGATTTAGTTCCTGGAGTCTGATTGGTGTTCAAGTTACATCTCATTTTTTTTTGAACGAATTTTCCCACATAACTCATTTTTATCAGCTCATATTGTGTATTGTTTGAGTTATTCCATAGGTTGAACATGTCTTTGTAATAATAGATTTTCTGCTTAAAATTGTTTATTTATTTTTTCTCATCTAGGTTGACAATGGTGTGCTCTGTATTAGTTATCTCATATATGTTTTTGGGTACCTTTCGCATACACCTTCGAACCTTGGGGTGTTTTGCGGAAAAACTCCTAAACTCTATAAATTAGTAGGAATTCTCTTAACTATTGGAATTTTCATAACAGCATTAACGTGATAGGTAGAAAGTCTTGGCTATCCTTATACTATATTTGCCAGAAAATATTCCACATTCCCCCCATCTTCACTGCTCAACCTCTCTGACAATCCCAAACTCCCTTCATCAATCAACTCAATTCCATGCTCTAAAGTCCAAGTTCCCCAGTAATCTTTATCCAAACCTGAGCCACGAGACTCATCAGACATCGAACCAACCAGACTTCAAATAGGTGATTTCAAAGAGCAAATAGGAAAACATAAAAAAACAGGGTGAGTTGTTCATGGGATAGGGTAGGATGAGGGCGAGGGGAGAAGATGGAAACCAAGAAAATATATTAATTACACAGAGGCAAAAGTGTTCGAAACTTGTAATGTGCTTTTCATGTGACATCATAAACCAACTGACATCAGTCTTGGTAGTTTAATAAAGCAAGTTTTGAGGACCTCTTTAATTTATAAAGTTTAGGAAGTTTTGTGAAGAGTATCCCAAAGTTTGGGGTGGTGTCATGTAATTTACCCTAAATTTATTGTTGGGTTTGTAATGGTGCTGGTAGTGTTCGTTATCTCTTATAAACATTTATGGATAATTCTTATCCTGATAGATTGCGGGCCAAGAGGTATTAGCTCATGGACTAGAGCTACAAGTTAATGGAGAAATAGGGACTAGAGGTGGGAGATATTAGTTAGTGGAAGAGCTATTAGTTAGCGGAGAAATGTGGACTAGAGATGGGGTTAAATGGACATTAGATGAAAGCACTTAAAAAGGATGTGGTAATTATTAATTGGGTTAAGGAAAGGCCAAGAGGTATTAGCTCATGGACTAGAGCTACAAGTTAATGGAGAAATAGGGACTAGAGGTGGGAGATATTAGTTAGTGGAAGAGCTATTAGTTAGCGGAGAAATGTGGACTAGAGATGGGGTTAAATGGACATTAGATGAAAGCACTTAAAAAGGATGTGGTAATTATTAATTGGGTTAAGGAAATAATATTTAGTAAAACTGAATGGAAGAGAATATTCCTTGCAGCTGATCTCAAAAAGTTGGGATAAAGGCTTTGTGGTTCATATTTTGTACTTGGTTGTGTTTCTGTTAGCTCTATAGTTGTTTTCTGTTTGTATTTGCTTGAGGTTGCTGTAAGTTATATTTGAGAACTGGGACATATAAATTTGTTATGGTTGTGGGTAAGTGTCATTTGCTTTCGGTCTGATAAGTTTATTTTACTTCATGCTAATCTTTGCATGTAATTGATACTTTTGTGATATGATGCAGTCTTCTTTATGGAGCAGAAGACCCTTCAATTGCTGGCATGGTGTTGGATAGTTCTTTCTCTAATTTATTTGATCTGATGCTGGAGCTTGTGGATGTTTATAAGATCCGACTTCCTAAATTTACGGTACAACATTACTTCACAACTACAATATTCTCCTACAAGTGATATAAATGTATGGACAAACTGTGTGATTTTGTGAAACATACCAAAACCTATTCAAAGTACTGGTTGACACTTTATGTAGAAATGAATCTTATCTCTGAACAGGATATCTTTTTCGCGAGCAGGTTGTTTAAGTACCAATACATTGATAACATCTTTGGAAAATGATATATTAGGTCAAAATGGCTGTACAGTACATGCGGCGAGTCATTCAAAAGAAGGCTAAATTTGACATTATGGATCTTGATGTTTTAAAGGTTTGTTTCTATCAGATATGTGCATTTTCTCTATTGGTAAACTCTCTTTTACAACGTTTTCATTTTCTTTCTCCCTGTAAAGTAAATATGAAGAAAATGAAGAAAAATATCTTTTATCTTTTGGCTTGCAGTTTGCACCCAAGTCCTTCATTCCAGCATTATTTGGTCATGCTTCAGAGGACATGTTTGTTCAGCCCCGTCACTCAGATCGAATATACAAATCATATGCAGTAAGTAGGCAAAATACATTTTTTTTGTATGTGATTGATGAGTATGCTTATGCATCTCCATCTTTAGAAGATATAGTTTTCTCCGATAGATGTGTTTTGTCATAGTGGCTTAAACTCTAGCTAAATGTGGATCTTTCTTATTATAGCAACCATCGGATTATTTTGCAGGGAGATAAGAATATTATCAAATTTGAAGGGGATCACAACTCACCCAGGCCACAATTCTACTATGATTCTGTTTCAATATTCTTCTACAATGTTCTTCACCCTCCTCCAATTTCTGCAAAACCTTTAAATAAGGTGGAGAAGTACTACGATTTGGGAGATATCAGAGTTGGTGCTGGTGCAGATGAGGTGATTTGTATAACCTTATTTATTTGTTTATTTTGTGTGTGCGCAACATGTATGCATGCATGTGAGTAGGACTTCAACCTTGGACCTCCCTCTGCTCACTCCAACCCTTAACCACCTGAGCCAGGTTTCAGGGATTTTTATTGTTCTTGTTGGGTGTTATGCCACAATCATTGGCCTACTAAGTACTTGGTTAATTCCATTCTTATGTTGACAGTATGGTAATAAAAATGCTAATAATATGAAAACTTGGGATGACTTGTTTACAGGGTCTGTTGTATGAGATCATCAGTGATCTCCGTACAGCTGGTAAGAATGCTTCAAGTTCATCATCAGCCCCTCCTAGCATTCCGCTCAGTTCAGGCAAGATCTCTGTGAACGTTGGGATGCTTTATTTCTTTTCTTCAGTTAGTAACAATCTCAAAGCTGCTTAAATTTACTCACTTCTGAATATGCCAAATTTGTTTCGTTTAACTGATGCATAAGTCTCACCCATGTGAGTCCCAGTTTTCTTAAAATGATATGCTTTTAGTGTTGTCAGAGATGTATATATAAAGTATTGCTGCCTGTTTACTGCTGACAGACTGGTTGCTTTGCAGCTTCAAATGTAAAATCAGTAGTTGAGTTACTGTCAGAAAGTGTATCTACTATGTCGCTGAAAGATGACGTAGTAAGTTACTTGACTCTTGAATTTTCTACCTTGCTTAAGTCATTTCTCAAATTATTGCGGTGATAACTGCAGGATTTTCTATTAGATGAAGCTACCAAAACCGATTTAGATGAAAATGCTTCTGAATATTTCCCTTCTCAGGTAATGTTCTAGCTCTGTGAAAGCTGTTCATTTTTTGTCATTTATTGGATAAAATTCACAAAACTACCAAGGATTTTGAAGACCTTAGGGGCTTTTCAAAAAAGAAAAAAGAAAAGAAAAAAGAAGAAGAAAAGAAAAAAAAAGCATAAACTCTTTTTTATTGGAGCAAAATACCATAACCCTGCTGCCGTGCCCAAACTACTCTGATGGAAAGAGTTGATGTAAATTGGCCCGTGATACACATGACATATTTTCTACACTTTTGCCGTTATTGCTCTATATAACTGCTCTACTTCCTCCCTTCTCAACAATTAGGGGTTGTACAATTTAACAAACCCCATTGACGCCATTACAGTAATTTTCTGATAGGTTGTGCCGTTGTGGTAATTTTTCTCTAATAAGAAGTTAACTTCAATTTTTTTCCTTCAAAGTTCATAGTAGATTTGAATCTACCCACAATTATTCTATCAGAATTATTCTGTCATGTTACATCTCCCTGACGTTACTTTTCCTCTCTTTGCTGTCATGTCACGAGTGATACAGTTGTTACGCGACTCCTTTTAGTCGTTTAATATTTATCAATTTATGTGACGCAACCTAGTCGCCTAGAAATCGAAACAAATATAACTACATAAGCTTTTTCAATTGTCCAAGTTGATTATAAAGTTATGTAGTTCAGCTGACACTTAGCCAGGGATTTTGAGTGTACTAATTCATGCGCCAAAAACCAGCTACAAGAAAGGAACTGTAGCTAAAGGAAATTGGCTGATAATATTGAGAAATTATTGGCAAAGCAAATTCCTCTTCCTTATCTCAAAACAAGCTCTTAAAAAGTGAATAACTGTCCTAAAGAAATGGACGTGCGTAGATAAATGCAGACTTCAGTATGAACTTGAATTGTTTTAATGTTTGTTTCTCTCTTTGGGTTTTGAGTTATGCTGCTTGGGAAAGAGGTTTTCTATTAAACAGGTACATACTTGTAGGCAAAGTTCGTATGAAGAGTATCTCTAAGAGAAAGAGTAAAGGAAAATGAACTTAAAGGCAATTGCAATTTATGCTGTGTTTTTGTAGTTTTGTATTTTATCTACCTGTAAAATTTTACCATTATTAAGTTGAACATTTCAGTAAGCTAGAGGCACTTTAGTTAAAGGGAAGGGGGAAAAACCTGCTGTTATCTCTGTGATTTACATAGAAATACTAACTTGTATTCTGTTTATGCGCAAGTTAACTAAAATGTACTAATTCTTATGTTTCTCGGATGTTGCTCACTGTTCAGGAGAAAACCCATGTGCAGAATGAGGAACACTTCTCCCACTCGAGCTCGAATAGGGAAAGCTGGGGAAGGTGTTCCTCTTTAGGTGCAGGTAGTGGGACGTCATCCCCAGCTGATGTCCCTGGGATCTCCAACTGGGAAGAACAGGTATCTGCTTTAACTCATCACTCTCATTAAGCTTTTTCTACCTCCGAAGCACGTGTACCTTTTTTTAAAGCAACTGACAACTGTAGCTATTAGTTCCCAATTGCAGTATTAAGCCAGGAACTGAAATGTTGTTAAAAACAAGGGTTAATCGCGGATAGACCCTCTGAGTGAAAATTGTTTTGACTTGTTTACCCTCACGTGGTCTGTCAAAAAACAAATTTCTTTTTCTGAGGGTAAGTCCTCAAAAAAATTTCACTCAAGGAGTCTATCTGCAACAATAGAACCACATGCGTCTATCCGCAACTGGGCAATAGTACTTATCTCTTTATTGAAGCAATTCAAATTCATAAACTATAGTAACATTAAATCAAGTATATATTTTTTAATATTTGATGAATATTTGCATCTGAATTTGGATTTGGGGAAGAAAATTTGGTTTCCCATTCGAAAACTTCAGACAAATCTAAATATGAACCCATACTGTTCAATTTTAGCCGAAATAATCCTGCCTTCTTCCTAGATTTTCCCTTGGAACCTGTCTCATTTTATTGCTTTATTATCTATCTAATGTCTATAGTTGGCTATTGCAGGATAATAGCACACACTCAGAGAAAAGCCAGTCAACAAAGAAAAATAATCCTTCGGTTAATCCTTCACCACTTCACATTTCTATCCCTTTCCCAATCTTTTAGATACTGAACGCTTTGTTAACAATTTCCAATTCCTTGTATGAACAGAGAACATTCAGAGCGCTTGCATCACCTCTAAGGAGAATCCAAGGAAAATCAGCTGCCAAGTTAAAGGAAAAGAAAAATGGGAAACCTCCATCGAAGAAGTCAGTGAAGAGGGTAAAGCTGGAGAAAGGAGAAACACTAAGCCAGCGCTTGAGGCTGTGCTTCCTCAAAAGAGTGCCGCAACATAAGAGACACCAATCTATGTAGGTCACCAACCCTAGATTTGTTGTACCATACGAGACCACTATGAAGGTTTTTTGATTCAGAGTTAACTTAAAGATACGGATCTCCTGTAATTTATCATCAGTGGTGATTTGTTAGTGTTAGAGCTGTTGATATGCTTGGTTTGTGTGGTGAAAGAAGGATTGTTGTAAGATGGGAGGTTTTCTGTTCAAATTAGCTGATGAAATGGTTCGAGAAAGGTGGGTTCAAGTGATAAATTATGCGCTCTAGAATCTTGCTAGCATGAGTTCTGTGATAAGTTATGAGATTGAGAGATCGATTGTAGATCGGTGAATTGGATCTTTTGCATTTTTTACCCGTCGGGTTGCTCATGTTATTATTA